GATTTTTTTTGTATTACACAAATATTATTAATAAAGTTCAAAAAAGCTCACTGCGCATTCTCTGCTAAAATCTTGTTGTTTTATATATTCAGTTGTTTATAAATAAATAGTAAACTTTTCTGTCGATATTAATATCACATGACTACACAAACAACCGTGTTATCATTGCTTTAAAATTCTATAGTGCACACCTTTCAATAACCAAAACGTTTCGATTTCTTTCAATTCGCAAAACTCATATCATTTTTACAAGCAAATTTTTCATGATAAAATTTTTGAAAAAAGTTTCCCGAAATATTCAAACTAAAAAAATTAAAAAAAGACATTTTGTGGAAATATTTGTACAAATTTATGCGTGCATAATATATATATAATAATTAATGTATTTCAACAATTTATTTTCTTGTATTCTTGAAACCAGTTCATTTGTATTTAAAAAGACAATGTCTGATCAAATTGACACACCAAAAAACCCTAGAGACCACATTAATATAAATATCAATGTAGATGATGAATTCACACAGCAACAGCAACAACTTTTAGAACAACAGCAACAACAGGAACAATTTTTTGAACCACTGCACCAGCAACAACTACAACAACTAATTTTATTCTTGGACCAATGCAAAGAAAAATTGCAACAACTCTTTGAGTGACAACAACAACTTTTACAACGTCAACATCAAAAATCCTCACAACTACAGCAACAACGGTGGCAACTCTTAAAACAACAACTGCAACAGCCTATACAAGAACAAAATTTACAACAACACCTTCAAGATATCTTGAATTCTCAGAAAGAACTCTTGAAATGACAGAAAGAACTCTTGGAAATGCTGCAAAATTTAATGCAAAATCAACAAGATCAATTAAATTGTCATCATGAATCTACCCAACAACAGCAAGAGCTTTTATGACACTTTGAACGATGTCAACAACTCATTGAACAGCAGCAACATTTAACTCAACAACAGTGGCAACTCCTATGTAGTCAGCAACAACAACTATTAGTGCAAGAACCAATAATTTGTCTTAACATTGGAGAATATTATATAATTAGTAAAGAAGTTTATGATGATAATATTTTAAGAAATCAAGATCTCAATTATTCTCATGGCACAAATAATAACATGGAGGAATTGAAAAGTAAAATCACAGAATTGGAAAGTAAAAACAATGAATCAGAAAATAAAAACAATGAATTGAAAAGTAAAATCAAAGAATTGAAAAGTAAAATCAAAGAATTGGAAAATAAAAACAAGGAACTGAAAAATAAAAAAATAGAACTGAAACAATGAATTGGAAGGTAAATTCAAGAATGGTGAGTTGGAAAGTAAAATCATCAAGTTGGAAAGTAAAAATATCAAGTTGGAAAGTAAAATCATTGAGTTGGACATTGAGTTGGAAAATGAAAAAAATGAGTTGGGAACAAGCCAAAATAAATTTATGTCAAGCTCAATGGATAATATTGGATTTGGAAAGTTGAGAAATATTTTATATGATAACAAGCTTCAAAACCTTCATTCACAAAATAAAATGCTTGAAATCAACTGTAAAAATCTTCAAACAGAATTGAATTCAAAAAATAAAATCATTGATGATTTGATAAGATCTAATATTATCTTAAAGGAAGAAGCTATCAAATATCAATCAGCTTTAGATGATGCAACAAATTTCCAACTAGGAGTTCAAGATCCCAATTATGCTGATCAATTATTAAAAGACATTTATAACTTACATATAAATTTAGAAAGACTTTGTTCAATGAGAAGAGTTGAAATTAATGAATCGGAGGTAAAAGAACT